CAAGAAATCATTTATTTAAAAATCTACCCTACTCAGAAGAGGGGATATTGCAAATTACTCTTATTCTTCAAACAGAAATCTAAACCCGGCCCTGAAATAAGTGGATGTGGGTACCGGAGGAAGGGAAGAAGTGGGGAAAGGAGAAGACAGCATTGTAGACATGATTCTCTTTCCTTGACAGTGATTTTGGAGCTCAGGCTGCATTTTTAACCCCAAGTCTGTAAAAGGACCAAGAAACCCAAATCTCCACTTTTTCTGCAAGGCAATGGGGAAAAGAGCTGCAAAGTTGGTCAGTATTTAAAAATCATCATGTTACAAACATTTCATAGCCTTGTGTTTTCTCTAAGTTGAGAAAAGGAAGTGATGGTGTGGTGGCATGCTTGTGGCTCAAGGGAAGGTGCAGAGGGGAAGGAGAAAGGAACGGATTCTCAAGGAAATAGTTAAGGAACATTGGCTATGTCAACGGCTCCTGTCAAGTTTCCAGTTGGACTGTGAGCGTCCTAAGGGTTGGAACTAGGTGCTCAGCTATGTGTCCTTAGACTCAAAGTTGGCAAGTTTGAAAAAGCCTGAAGGAAGAGGAAAGCAGCGTGATGGGAGAAAAGCAGAAAGAAGGCAAGAAAGGGTAGAGACCCATTCGCAGGGAAGAGGCAGAGTGAGAATCCCTAGACAGAACAGGACTTGAGTGTTTCCACGCCCGCTAGACGCAGGTGCAAAGCAAACCCTCACTGTGCCAAGGGGTGGGGGATTTGGCCCTGGAATCCTGCTCTCAGGTGATTATTTCTCCACTTCACCTGGAATAAGCCTGTGCAGGCTGAAGAAATTCAGAGCAGGAGTCCCTGGGGCTGGCACCGGACTTACGCTTTGGCATTACGACCTGCTGATCTCCAGCCAGCAGACAGAACCATATGGGTGATGAGCAGAACAACTTTATCATCCTTCAATGGCCTCAACCGGCATTTATTGGCCCTTTCGTTGTCATTTTAAAAATCATTGTGGAATTTGAGAAGCCCGAAGCCACGGCACATCTCCTGACTGTGAGCATTAACCATGGTGTAGAGTTGCTCACAGCTTGCCTACTATCTATCCTTCATGAAATTTGTAGCAAGGCCAGTCTTGGCCATCATGAAGCCCTGGAGGAGGAGGTGATTGCCCAGCATGCTCTCTGGTCTGAATGCTGATTGTGCAGTCACTGGGGCCCTAAGCATTCTGCTTAAACAAATATTTTTTATGTTTGGCAGGAGAACCATTCCCCACTGTCTGCTTTTTCCTAACTCACATAAAACTGTACATTTAGCTTCTGTTTGCATATATATAAACCATACAGTTAGGAGCAGCCTGGGAACTGCTTGGTTGGAGATGCAGTTTGCCTTCTGAAAACACCGAAGTGAGTGACAGCTGTATATTGTGTTATTGGAGGCGTGACACATGTGATTGATTGGGACCAGGTGCTTCACAGACGCTATCCGAGTGACGCTATAAACCTCTGGTTGACAAGTACAGTGATATCCCAGTTCTTGTTAGGTAAAGAATCTGCCCTTCAGTGCAGAAGAATCAACACAGCAACAGAAAACCTCGGGGTGCTATGAATAAGAGGCCAAGGGGTGGCCAAAGATAACAGTTAGTGACAAGCTTGTGACAAGCTGATACATGCTTGACCTATAAGAGCATCTCATCTCTAAGAGGACACGGAGGGAGGGTTGGAGGAAGAAGATTTTGGGTTAAACTTGAGGACTGGTAGGATTCATTTTATATTCTATTCTTGCTGTTTATTTCAAAGCTATATCAACACTGATATTTTCTATTTGACAGATAACCCTCACTAATGTAACTTAAATACTGAGTCTGAATCATGACTTCTAACTCAACCGGCTCACTGAACAAAATGAGGTAAGAGAGAGACAAAACCAATGGGGTTATGTTTTATTTTGCTTCCCAACTTAGCCTTCTATGGGTTAATTCACCTAAAAGCTTTCTTTTCATCGGATTACCCACCAGCATCACTGTCCTTTTCTCTATCCCACCTTTTCCTTACCCTTCAATGGATGACTGACTACTTTTGGGAACCCCACAGACAGACTGAGCTAGAACTTACCTCGTGTTAGCTGAGAATCATTAATATAGTTGGAGTATACCCTTAAGGCTTATTTTCAGGACAAAGTGAAGGGCTGTTGTTTGAGAAACTCTACCCACTTGGGAAGTTTGATATCCTAAACTTTAGCTTTTACTTTGCTTGTATATTTATTTGTTTACAAGTACTTCTCTACATTTTTCTTTTCTTTTTTTTTTTTGGTCTTTTTTTTTTTGAGACAGGGTCTCCCTGTAGCCCCAGCTGTCCTGGAACTCACTATGTAGACCAGGCTGGCCTTGAACTCACAGAGATCCACCTGCCTCTGCCTCCCGAGTGCTAGGATTAAAGGTGTGCGCCCCATGCCCGGCTTATACGTCTCTACATTTTTCAGTAACTCAACGGATGTGTGCTTTTGGGTGTGTTGGACTGAGATTAGGCTACACATTAAGATAAGATAGCATTTGTCAAGTGGGTGGTGCACGCCTTTGATCCCAGCATTCTGGAGAAAGAAGCAGGCGGATCTCTGTGAGATCGAGGCCAGCCTGGTCCACATAGTGAGTTCCAGGCCAGCTGGGGCCACAGGGAGACCCTGTCCCCAAAAGACGACAACAACAACAACACACATTTGTTGGGGCTGGAGAGATGGCTCAGTGGTTAAGAGCACTGGCTGCTCTTGTAGAGGACCCACTTTGAGTCCCAGCACCCATATGGCAGCTAACAACTATCCATAATTCAGTTCCAGGGGATCCAATAGCTTCTTCTGACCTCTGTGGACACTGCACAACATGGGTGCTCTTATCTATGTGCAGGCAATATACTCATAGACAAAATAAAAATGACAGATAATTTTTCTTTAAGTGATGGGGAGATATGGGAGGAGTTAGAGGGGAGGGAGTGGGCATGGATTTGATCAAAACACCTTATATGCATGTATGAAATTCTCAATAAATTTTTTTAAGTTAAAAAAAATTTTTTTTAAAGATAACATTTGTCCTGGGAACTATTTCTCAGTGTTGTTTTGGTGAGTCTACATGCACTTATATCTTTTTCTCTAAGACACAGACCGTGGAACCTGGTTCACTAATGTCTTGTGGCAGTACTAAGTTTTGAAAGAATGACTGGTTTCCACCTTAGTCCAAAATGGAAACGCAAAGGGCTGTCTTTCAAAAGTGACAGTGAGAAATAACAGGAAGCAGCAAATACCAAGAGGTAGCAAACTCCCTGCCTGTCCTTCAATCCCTGCCACATCAGTTTGGATGGTATGACAATAGCAGTTAACATTCAGTGAGAACTTCAGTATACAGCAGTACCCTTATAGTTATTCAACATGAATGAATTAGTACTTTCTCAACACTCTATGAGGTATTCAACCTTTATAGATGAGGAAGCTGAGATGTGAATGAATTTTGATGACTGCTGACCATTTTGATCTTAATGGTCCTACATATTTCCTGGGCTCATTTTGTTAGTTTTAGACATTTACAAGGATAAGCAGGGACTTTAGAATGAGGAATTATAACTCTCAGATGTTCTGTGGTCAAGATTCTAAGCATTCTTATACTGTGGTTGTGGTATCTTGTTAAGAATCCCTTTTTCCCTGTTGAGGTCTGTAATTGGAAATGGAGAAAGTTTCTATACATTATATTTGAGCCCTTCCTGGATCTTATGTCTTCTTGAATTTTTCCTTTGGCATCTCTGACTGCTCTCCATGGTTTGTGGGAGTATTTTTAGTTTTAGCATTGGATTTTCTTTTGAGCAACACCAAAAGTTTCTTTAGGAAAGAATGGAAAATTCAAGAAGAGTTTTCAAATGTATTTTCACACTACTCGACAGGAATGTAGTTTCAGAAAGTGTGAGGTTTAGCTTTCAGGCAGGTGGTGGTGGTGGTAGTGATGGTGATGGTGGTGGTGGTGGTGGTGGTGGTGATGGTGGTGATGGTGCTGGTGGTAGTGGTGGTGGTGGTGGTGGTGGTGATGATAGTGGTGTTGGTAGTGGTGATGTTGGTAGTGGTGGTGGTAGTGGTGGTGGTGATGATAGTGATGATTAGTGGTGGTGTTGGTAGTGGTGGTGGTAGTGGTGGTGGTGATGATAGTGGTGTTGGTAGTGGTGGTGTTGGTAGTGGTGGTGGTGATGATAGTGGTGTTGGTAGTGGTGGTGGTAGTGGTGGTGGGTATGTCTGCAGGTTCAGAAGCATCTCTCACAATGGTTTCTGTGTGGACATCATCCAGGCCTGGGGAGATATTCCTCTTTCACTAGAGCCTGTTAAGGAAGAACTCTACAAATGTGCTTGCAGTTTTTCTACACGTCTCACCAGTAGCTCTAGTTTTATTAAAATGCTTTAAAAAATAGGGATTTAGGAACTGATCCCTATAAACCAAAATCATTGCTTTCGGGACAGGAGAAGGCAACAGTTCCCCAAAAAGTTGAATCGTCGTCATTTGCTAACCTGAAAGCAGTGGGGAGGGATGATGCACGCGCCAAGCTGGCCACACCCACGAGGATGAAATAAAGTGAGCTGTGAAGTATAGCCTCCATTAAATGCATAACCAAAGTTTCATCACGAGTTGTCTCATACTGTGCACACCTGCTGGCAGGAAGCCAACCTGGAGTCCCTGTCCCCAGAGACGGCCTCGCTTCTTTTCTTCCTGAGGTACTGTGGCTTTCCTCTTCTCCCTCACGTGGGGCTGTCAGTCAGCAGCACTCAGCCTGACCGTGTGCACATCTACCACTGCCACTGCTCTGCGTTGATTTAGAGAGTTGGCCTTTCTGGGCACGGGCCCTCAGCTTCCCATGCATGGCTAAAAACTGCAGTTCCTCCATTTCAGCCAGACACACAACCGAGTGGGAACCATCCAATTAACAGGGACTTTTCTCATCTCTTGCATAAGACACAAAGGCAAGGGTGAGTTCAATAGAGACTCTGACAACAAGATTTAAATAAATAAGCTGTATTATCTGTACAAAAAATATAAATACAGGTTTTTTTGTGTGTTTTAGAGGAGGAAGGGCCTCCTTCCACATTATCCAGCAGCCTTAATTTGTGGCAGTGCTGAGTCACAATTCACAGAACAAATATTAAATGTACATTCATCTCATGCAAGGAGCATGCTGCTTTCCACTTCAAACCTAAGCTCTCCAACTTCACATGCTGGCCTGTGGCAGAGCTGGAAGATACCTGCTTTTTAGGATATGCAAACATCATCCACCAACTTTCAATAACTATTGAACTATCCAACCATGTTATTATTATGGAATTTGTCTTCATCCCCTGTGTGAGTATTGTGAATAGACTTTGTTGCCCCCATAGCCCATGTTAGGTTTTACAATGTAATCTGTACACAGTGAATAATGGATCAGAGTTAAACACCAGTTTATATTAAAAACAGGAAGAATATAATTGTCACCACTGAGTCGACAGGAACACAGCTACAGGAAGTTAATAAAACCCCCCAAATAGTTATTTTCTGGATGACAATGTACAATTATTAATATTGCACTTTTTATACAAGAAATCCTAATAAATATTCACAAAAGATATACATAGAAACACTCTCTTTTATTTTAAATAAACATTATGCTGATTTTCAGTGACCCGATTTCTTAGTCTATTTTTGAGATGCAGAAGAGACCCGCCTAGTTGCTCATAGCTCACCTAGAGAAGACACACATTATTGCCTTCCAAATTTTATATCCAGGCTGGCTAGAAAATGCAACTCTGATGTCCGTGGTGGCCCTGGGGCGATAACATTGCATGAGTGTGTATGTGAGGGTGGTTTATCTGAGGGTAAGTGGCTCTGGCTTCCCAGTCTACCAAATGCAGGCCTCCCAGGAGAGAAAGAAACCTTCCTTGCCAAAGCTTCTCTACTGCATAAGCAATCTTCCAAGTAGTGCCAAAGCTTTTGTTTAGCCTCCTGATGCTGCTGTAACCATCTCCATAGCTAAATGCACATTGCTGTGCTGCTTTGCCTGCTGTGTGGTCTATTCACACAGTCAAGCGTGCTAATTACCATAGCGTATATAGCATTTGTGTCAGGAGGATGGGTTAAAAAGTCTTTGAAGACTGTCTTCGAGTCTTTAGCTATCCTCTGGCTTTGCCACAGCATCTTATCACCCCTCCTAACCTGCTGTGTAAATATGGACAGCAGTTCTCTGTGGTACACACAGGCCCAATGTTGGGTGGCTGGGATGGGCAGGTGGGATGGCATTGTGGGTATGCCCAAATTCTGTTCCCTGGCTAACGCTTGTGTAAAGGGTTGCTGCAACCTAATAGATGCTCACTGGCAAATGGATTGGTTAACGAATTGATTTTGACCAGTGATCCCTAGTCCCTGGCCCTGTGTGGAGCACCAAAGGCCATTTAAGCAGAAAGCCTGACTTACTCATGCTCAAATGCCCTTGACCCACAGCAGTAGTTAGTTCAGGGCTGGGGGTCCTTGATTTAAATGAGATGCCAAGGGCAGCCTTATTGCACAGCCAGATGCTGACCCCTTGCCAGCTTGGCTGCAGATGCAGACATAAAGATTACTCAGAGTAGGGACACTCCCATGGCCCCATGAGGGGCATGCCTCCTATGCAGCATGGGCACTTTGAAAGGACGCTGTAGGGTGCCTCCACTGAACCCACTGGAGTGCACACATGCACTGGGATATAGGCCTGTCACATGAGCCTCACGTGACTGCCTGAAGGTCTCTCCTTCCTGCTGGCTGCTCCCCACTGAGGAGCACACACACACTTCTTTTGCTCCTGTCCCTTTCCTCTCTCCATTTCTGACATCACTGGGTGCCTGTCGCCTTCTTGGATCATCTCCTCTGGGGCTCTCTATCTGTCCGTGGTTGAGTTCTCTTCTTCCCCTGTTCCTTGACAGAAGAGCTGAGTCCTGGTCTGGTTTCTGCCCAGCATGGTGCCCCCTTGTTCTTACTGCCACACCCCTGAGGGGGTAGAGAAGGAGACAGAGGAACGATGTGGCTGGTTGGCCTGTGGCTGCACCAGAGTACTCTAAACCCCAGCGCCCTGCTGTCACTGGCTACGGCTTCCTCTTCTGATATTTCTGAGACCCAGGTTAGGAGGGGGCTAGCTCTGCAAGGGAGCTGCTGCTGCTGTCTTCCTGGCCTGCTCTGCAACCTCCTTCAGACATGTCTTTTTCCATTCCCAACACTGTCCTCCAGCTAACTGAATGAGAAAACATGTTGAGGTCCTTGGGAGTATGGGTGTGGGTGGGCATGGGTGTGAAGGGAGGGGCAAATAAATAAATAAAAGGAAGAAAGCGTAAGTCCTGTCCAAGGTGGTTGTGTGAGTCCTTTGTGTGGCCAGGGCAGAGTTCTTCCCTGTGCCATCTTCACGCTTTGCCGCAAGTTCCACAGCAGCGAGATCTGAACTGGCTGAGCTGGCAGAGTTTCAGCTGCTTCACCTTCTCGCAGTGTCTGGTGGTGTCTCGGCACTCAGCTGGGGAAGCAGGAGGGGAAGAAGGGAGATGTGAAACAGAGGCTAAAGGATGTGGCTGCTCAGCAGCCTGGACACTGAGCCTGTGGACGACTATCTTGGCCGTGGTTCTCCAGCCCCTCTGGACACTCTTCCCTATGGCAGAGCTCAGCCGCTTACCATCCTCTTCCCCACAAAGTTGTCGACAGCAGGAGTGGCACCAGCCTACAGCTAGATGATGGGATCTACCTCAGGGCCAGCTTTCTCTAGGACAGCTACCTTTATTTCAGAGTGCTGCTTGTAATCCCTTCTTGGGATCACCTTACCTCCTTGCTTGCTTTTCCCCATGGGCTTTTGGTATTTTAGCGAGATGGTTCCCAGGACAGAATTTTGTGCCATGTGAGGGAGCATGTGTGCAAGGACCTGGTTGGAGGCCTGCATCACCAAATTCTTGGACTGTACTTTCCCTATTATGCTTTTATTTCTTTCCTATTCCTATACCTTCAGCCCACCAGGCTTTACATACCACAGCATTCCAGTTCTTAGACATTGCTTTAGATTTGACCGGGTAGGCTTTAACACCTTGTATTGCACACTGATGTCTTCTGAATGTGGTGACCATCTGACAGACGTGTGGGTCGGCACTTCACCAGTGTACAAAGGTTACCCTTTCCCCGGTGCATCAAAAAGAATGACCAAGTGCTCATTACAGGGCGTCTGCTTCAATACTGCTAACTGATTGCTGGGTGAAGCTCAGTGTAGGGGAAACTTGCACTGTTGCACTTGCTTTTATTTCCTATTCTTGGTTCAAGATTTGTCATCGTCTTTGCAAAGAAATACCTCCAATTTGGGTTTTGGGTTCTGAGGAAGAGAAACTAGATCTCTACCCAACTGGGATATAAATGCTGGTGTGGAACTGAGAGGCTCCAGGCCTGAGAGTGAAATGGGTATCATCTCCCAAGGCCTGGGCTCCTTCCAGTGGCTGTCCATGGGCTGGGAGGGAGGGAGGTCACAGGTCCCTGTTCACTGTGAGGCAAAGCAGTGACGTGTGCAGAGCTGTTGAGGGGCAGGCGAGCCGCATGATTCTTCAGTGTTAACAGTGCTCTGTCTTTAGCTGCCTGTTCCCTGTGGGTCATTGTTTAATCTTCTGTGGTACCAGCCAGTCTGACTGCAGGTGAGCTAGAAGTCACTTTTATCCAGCACTTGGCCAGAGCCGTTGGCTCTCTTAGGGTCAGGATGAAGACAGTGAAAGCCCTTAGGGCACACTCCGCTCTCTTTTGTGACCTGAATAAGTATACACACATCCTTTCACACACCCAAGTTCCCCACTGAAAATGTTAATCTCTGGCCTCAGCTCACAATCCTTGGGGAACCTGATCCAATGCCCTGTGTCCAGGCTCAGTCCCAGGGATTGCTCGCTGCACCGGAACTCCTGTGGGGAATTTGCAAAATGTTCTTTGGGATTGGAACGTACTGTTTTCACATGGAGTGATGTTGCAGCGTTGCCAGTTGGCAGGCCGGGGTCCCCAAGAGCACAGGTGCTCGGGGACAGCCTTGTTGGTGCGGGCGTGAACACATTCGACCCGCCGGGACTGGAAGCCATAGTTGCCACAAGTTGCTGTGCATAGGGTCCACAGGCTGACCCTCCAGTGTACGCTGCAGGCGTCTGACCAGCAGTTTTGGGTGCTCACGGGCCTGTAGGAGGAGGGTGGCAGAGTTAAGGTCTATTTCTGTGGGAACTAAATCCGGGAGGCAGATGTGAAAACAGTATTACAAACCCAAAGATGTAGGCAACTCCTTTAGAACGTGGTGTTGCTAGACCGTATCTTGATCTCTGCTCTGCTGCTGAGTGAATAGGCATGGGTCTGAAGGGGGCCATGCCCCTCACTGAACATCTGTCTGCTCTTCTCTATAATCTTGCATGAGCTCTACTCAGAATGGAGGCTGGAAAAGGTGGAACTTGGAACCAGGTCTTGGGCTACAGTCCTAGGTAGAGGTGAGGAGTCCTTTTCCCACACGGGGATCTATAAGGGGCTGGGGACTGGATAGGCATGAGGGGTTGAGACTCAGGGACAAAAGCCCTCATATTTGGCTAACGTCTAGAGAGAAGTCAGCAAGATGAGGAGCTTGCGGAGCCCTGGGGTCTGGTGCCCTAATGTAGTCTTCTCCTCCTGCCGACCTGGAAATTAGGGCTGGACTCTTGTGGAGTCTTATCTCCACAACTTGTGTGTGTGTTTCATCCCTGAGAGAAGAAAGCCCAGCCTGGCTCATTTGATAAACACAAGAGCACTATTTGCCCCTTACCTGGGGTAAGGGATTGGGGAGGGCAGGGCATCTGACTCTTCCTAGGAGATTGAAGAGAAACATTCTTTCAAAACCATCTGTTCTGTGCTGTTGATAGAGGGGCTAGATAAAGGGAGACTGAGGCTCTTTTACCTGGGAAGGGCACTGCACTGCTCTGATGGTAAGGTGATACCATCCCGGGTCTGGCAGAAGACTTGTCTGTGTTGCATAGCGAGGCGAGGCCCTATGCAAGGCCCATTGCACTGAGAATCAGAAAGAGGAGATACATATCATGTTATCTGAGTCACAGGCAGAAGCTGCTATGTTCAAGTAGGCTTACTGTATAGAGTGTACTTAGAGGCTCTCAGGCTATTTTTCCTTCTTTGGGCAAACTAATAAGCATTCTGGCATGTTTTCTTCATGCCATAATGGGACAGTTAGTGCCATGGTCTGTGGACGTTATGCTAGCAAATGGCTAGGGGAAGTGTAGACCCAAGCACAGAAGCCTGACCTTGACTAATCAGAGTATTTGAGCGTATGCTGGGAATGTGGTAGTAAGCTTCAGAGCTGAAGAAATCTAAAATCTAGCTAGGGGAAGTGTAGACCCAAGCACAGAAGCCTGACCTTGACTAATCAGAGTATTTGAGCGTGTGCTGGGAATGTGGTAGTAAGCTTCAGAGCTGAAGAAATCTAAAATCTAGCTAGGGGAAGTGTAGACCCAAGCACAGAAGCCTGACCTTGACTAATCAGAGTATTTGAGCGTGTGCTGGGAATGTGGTAGTAAGCTTCAGAGCTGAAGAAATCTAAAATCTAGCTAGGGGAAGTGTAGACCCAAGCACAGAAGCCTGACCTTGACTAATCAGAGTATTTGAGCGTGTGCTGGGAATGTGGTAGTAAGCTTCAGAGCTGAAGAAATCTAAATATGCCCCCCTTCGCACCTTCAGTGTGGGAGATAATTTGGTTTATTACATTCTTGCCAAATTCATCTAAGTAACCATGCCCACTATTTCTTTCCTTTCCTTGGCTTAATTTTCTCCAGCTTAAACCCAGGACAGCTGAACAAAAGCAGCCTAAGCATGTGTAGTCCCACCTCATGGAAACGTTCAGCTTTGAGAGGTGGCAGGGCCTGACGCTATGCCAGCAAGTGCTCCTAACAATTGTTTGTAAATATAAAGCAGAAGGCCTGAGCTAAGAGCTAGTTTAGAACACACATCTCTAGCAGGTCACTTTGGAGCAAAGGATGTTGGTGGCCTTTGGATTCTTAGGGGAATGGGGGCAGGAGAGAGTCCTTTAACATCTTATGCATAAATTTTGTAGTTACTGAAAATTTTCTAGCAAGAGTTCTATCTTTCTTTAGTTATTCAAAGACCTGCAGTCTCAGAGGTGAAGAGCCAATGAAGGAGGCGGATTTAAGGTAAGAGTTTGCCCTCTTGGGTGACACCTATGCCCAAGGTTGGTTAGTTCCTGCTTTTCCAGGCTGTGTAAGGGCTCAGCTTACAGTTGTTTGCCAGTCCACGGCGTGGGGGAATGTAAAACAACAACGGCAACAAAATGCCTGCTCGATACAAATGACTGGGAACTATTTTTGTGCTTTATGGTAAAATATACTTTATGAAAATTATCGTTTTGTTTTGAGGCTGGCCTCTGTTACTATGTAGTTGAGGCTGACCTTGAACTCCTGATCCTTCTGCCTCTGCCCTCTCAAATGCTGGGATTACAGGTCTGTGAGAGCACATCTGATAAAATTTATCATTTTAACAATTTAAAATAATATTATTGTAAAGTATAGCACATGTAGAGAAATATGATTAAAACATGAAGGATACCTCCGTGAGTTATCACAAAATGATAAGTCATGTATCACCATGCTTAGCTTACACTGTGGTTGGTTTATAGTTTCTTAATATGCACCTGATATACTGTATATTCAAGTGTTTGTCCATGAAAATTTTTTTTGTTAAGTTATAGGAATTTTAAAACACTGTGGATTTGTTTACTTTTGATTAGGGGTATGATTTGCGAGACTTTTTCTCACATTATAGGTTATCTTTTTACTCGCTTGATAGCATCCTGTTAATGTACAAGATTTCTTAATTTTGATTTATTTTCTTGTGTTTTTAGAGTCAGTCTGATATACTTTGAATAAATTCTGTGGGTTTATTATCAGAAATTTAATTCCCAGTTTTTGTTGATGGAATTTAAAGGTGGGACCAGTAGGAGATAATTGACTTAGATGAGGTTATCATTGTGTCTCTGTGATGGAGTTGTAAGACTTGGGCTTGCATGCTTACATTCTTACCATGTGATCCATCATGATATAGCAGAAAGGCCTTTACACCAGATACAGGCACCCACCCTTGAGCATGAACATTCTGGTTTCCAGAATGCTGAGAAGTATATATCCAAAGATGGATATCTTTGGAATTTTGTTATAGCAACACAAGTGAACTAAGACAGTGTCATATTTAAGAAATTATTGCTAAGCCCAAAGTCATGAAGGTTCCCCTGTTTTCTTTCTGTTTGTGGTATAAAGTAAGGATTTGAGACCATCTTTTGCATGTTAATGCCCCACATCATTTGTTGAAAACAGTCCTTTCCCCCACTGAATGGTCTTGGAATGTTGTTGAAATAACTTGATCAGGTATGTATGTGAGGCTTTACCTTTGGGTTTTTTTTTTGTTGTTTTTTAATTTTTTTTAAAATTTTATGTGTATGAGTGTATTGCCTGCATGCATGTGAGTGCACCTGTTAAAAAGCTTTCAAACATGTATTGTATGTTGAATAGTAATGTGCAGATAGCCAATTCCATTAAGTCTGAATTTGCCAATTGTCTTGAAACATTCTAGCACTGTGCCTGGCCAGTCAGAGTAGTTACTCTGCCGGGTTGCTCTAGACAAACCAAGAACACACAGAACAGATACCACCTGGCTGCTGGGTGCCATCTGAACATCAGTCTGGCAGGAATCTCTTACACACCTGTACACTCCCAGTAGGTTTTGACTATAGACTTTGGGAGGAGACAATATATACAATGATATCATTTCCTTCAACAACTCTTACATCTGGTTGTATGTAGAGGGTATCCACAGGCCATTTGTGGAGTTAGGTGTACGAATAGGATGGCTATTCTTTATCTCACAGAGGCCTTATGTGCCTGGACCGAGGAAAACCTAGGCTTCCAGTACCCAGTGGATCTGACTAATGTCTAGTCCTGCTTGGTCTAGACACGAAGGAGCAGCAGTGACCAACCACACTCTGTCTGGCTGCTGCTGTCAAGCATGACACTTGCTATTAAGGTTGATTCCCTTCCCCTTAGCTCCCAAAGGTTCAGTTTGTGTTGATCCCCTTTTAAAAATCATAACAAATATAAAATTTATTCTCAATGGAGAGAGTTATTGTGGTCCTCCACTATATCCATCCCTAGGGTTCTGGTCAAATGAGAAACACTGTTGCTCTACTGAACTTACCTGGGACTTTTTATGTTAACCTCTATGCAGAGAACTGAAGGATGCAGTGGTTTCAAGGAGATCCAGACTAGGCCTCAACTTTTCCTGACTTGGAGCAATGGTTCTTTATCCCAGGCTTCAGATCATAACCACCTGAGAAGTTTCTAAAAATGACCAGTCCCACTCCAGGGCGGTTGACTTAGCCATCTGGAAGGTACAGCCTACACATTGGTGGTTTAACAAGAGTTTCCATAGTGATTTTTAACTGGGAAACTGGCTGAGAAGCTCTGGCCCAGAACAACAGTACAGTCTCCAGATGGATCTCTCCTGAAGTTTCCATAATCACCCCTAGTATAGTAAGAAGAGTCTTCAGAAATGTGAACCTGAAGGTAGTATCTGGTCTCCCTAGTTCCCATCAGCCTGGAAGTCACAGAGATCTGCCTGCCTCTGCCTCCTGACGGCTGGGATTAAAGGCCTATGTAACCATACCCCGCAAAGATAGTATTTGAAGGTCTGATGGTGATCTGAGGATGGGAGACCACGGGTCAGGAAATCAAAAGGAAAAATGTAATAGGTGCGAGCAGCATGCTAATGTTACAGAATGCCCTAAACTTTTTAGGATGGGGCTGTAGGTGGGGTTAGTCACAGATTTGTGAACTGTCACTTGTCACAGAGGCTGTAGCATTTACTTCCTATTGTGGTAAGGTTAATACTTTCAGATTTGCTTCTCAAATAAGAACCTCTCTGGCCCCTCACCTGGCCCCAGCTGGAGAAAGCCCATTCCACACAGAGCTGCTGGTTACAGGCCTGGGTATCCACAGGTCTTTTGGCCAATTGGGTACACATGTCATTGGACACAGGGGTGGAGATTCCAGAGGCTTTCAGCTTCTGACAGGTCACTCGGCGGGTCTGGATGCCTCCACCACAGCTCCGGGTACAGGCAGACCAGGAAGTCACCATCCACCTGAGGGAGGAAGTAGCATGAGGGTGGCCTCAGACAGGAAGGCTTGGGGGAAAGGAGGCAGGTATGTTCCTCTCAAGTGTTGGTCTGAGGGCCACTTTCCCAGGATTTACTTAGAAAAATGAGGTGTTCTTGCTAAGTCTCTGGGACCTGTGAATGTGACCTTACTTTGTTTTTGAGATAGAGTCTCACTATGAAACCCAGCTTGACTTTGAACTTGTGATGCTCCTGTCTCTTCAGTATATATCATACACATGTGCCATAGTTAGGATATTGAGATGAAATTCTGTGACTAGGCCCTATATTGTGCTCTGAAAGCAGTGGTGGCAGTGTGACCAGGGAACAGAAATTGCAGCTACAAGCCAGAAATTATCAGACACTGGAAGTTAGGAGTGGCAGGGAGCAAATTCTCCCCTAGAGCGTTTACAAAGGACATGGCTCTACTGACGCCTAGAATTTTGATTTCTGGCCTTCAAAATGGTGTTTGAAGATGCTGTTTGGGCTAATTTATTATTGCAGCCCCAGGAAATTGATACAAGTAGGGCAGTGCCTGGAAAGAGTACTTGGACAATTGGTTACTTTAAGTTGCCCCACAGTGGTGAAACTGCAGATAGAATGCTCCTTTAGTTGGTAACATCACACTGCAGTGTGACAGAGCAGGACAGTTCCTAGGAAAGTCACATCCAGACCTCTGTTACCGTTTGATCCAAGAGGCAGTCTGAGTTTCACTGAGGTCACAGTTTTGTCTGGTAATACTCTGCTCACTTTAACCCTTGTCCCATTTGATATACTTAATCTTTCAGAAACACACCAAGATCCACCTAAATTTATGGGGCAATTTTCTACCTTTGTTAATCAGTCTGGAAGTCTTCTAGATCTTGGAGGGTTGCACACATATCTGTTCTCAGAATGTTAGGGACCAACTATAATTTGAGTCCCTAGACGTGAATCTGAACAAATTATGGCAAATGAGCTTTTTTCTAAGCCATAATCTGGAGACAGTATAAAGTCCATAGTATAAAGTCCATATACAAACATGCGGGAGTCCCCTTTGCATGTGTACACCTAGGGATAATTCCCAAAGAACAAGGAGACAGTTAAGGAAAAATAATGAGAAGAGGCACGACACTCTTCAGGCAGCTTCATGCGATCTAGGAAAAGCCCACTGGGTTTATTATCTTGGTTATGTGGGTACAATTGTCTTAACATGAAATAGTTGAAATAGCACCTGGGCCCAAAGCAGACTTCCCTGGATCTTGTTAGAATGATGAGCAATACTTGTATATGTCAAACAAGGATGCTAATGTGTCTTCAGAAACTGGCAGGAACATTGGTCAAAGGTGAGCCTATGGTCACTTTCTGGCTTTTAGGAGAGGCATCAAGCAACATGGGGGCAGATTCCTCCTTGCATCAGGATCTATGATGCATTTAGTTTGTGGCCATTTCTCTACTCCTTTGGCCTGGGGAAGGTGATTGCATGTAGATTTTTAGCCCACAGGAGCAGCCTCCTTAGGAAGCATGATGGACGTGTGTTTTAAAGCCCCTGGACTCATTGAAACCAAAGAAGACGTGGCCATTGTTTCATGTGCAGAAGGCTGATTAACTCTGACTGTCACCAAATCAAATCACAAAATTCCTGGCATGTGAAGGATCTCCTCTTCATTTCACACAGCTTGGCAAGGGCGGTCTTCCAGCCCGTGACATCCCTGGTGAATGTCAGGCCTGCATTTCCGTCAACTATTACTTTAACTTCTACATTACTTACATTTCAGTGATGTTTTCAGGAGCTGGGGGGGGGCGCGGTTTGAGACAGGAGAGGTATAGGCTATGTTACCATTCAGGAAGGGTATAAAAGGACATTAATCATTCCTGTGGAAACCTTCCTGTCAGCAAGTCAAAATGCTGATATTAATGAGCATGTTTCATATTTCATGGAGTCTCTCCTGGTCTCAGCTGCTCCCTATGACTCAGCTGGCAAAACACAAAGCGGTTGCCTGAGCAGTATAGAAAAGTCCTACAGACAGGTTGTAAAAGGGCATTTCGGGCCCTAGCCAAGCCCCACAGGAACAGTGTGCCTTACTGTTGCCAGCTTTAACCCCACCCATTAGCTACTGCCTGAAAACTTGGGGCCACGGGCTCAGTTGGGACTCATGGTTTCTTTAAGCCTGAGTTACATGCAAGTAGTAGAGATGGTGGGTGTCATTCCAGGCTCAATAAATACCCCAAATGCAGAGCATGACTAGAATGAAGGCAGCTATAGAAAAAGGAGATCCATTCCAACTTTAGTGAGATGCAACTATGTAGAAAAGGCAAGTTCTCCTTAACTAAATCAGAGCTCCATCACTGTCCCTTCAACATTTAAATGGAAAGAATGTTTAAGCAAGGAACACTGAGGGTCGGGTTATTATTGCAGCATGGGAGGTACTTCTGGCCCGGCTCTGGGTTGTACTTACAGACTACCAGGACTTAGAAGGCTAGCTGAAAGGTAAGGGGAATAAGCAGCACTAAGAGAGGAGGCCCATTCTGAGGACTACTTTCAGTAAGGCAGACAGGCATGTACTGGAAAGAATGGATCTTTGCATTCCATCTCTTCCTACAAGGCCTGACCTTCCATTAGCTAAGAGTCAGAACCAGTGGGTGGGGTGGGAAGGGCATACTCACCGAGAAGGACAGTCTCTCCGGTTACAAGGAATAGGCTGTACAGCAGGGCGAGGCTTTCCTGCACAGTGCTCAGGGTTAACCTCTGTGTTGTTCAGCAAACACCTGACGTGGGGCTGATGAATCCCCCTATTACCACAAGATGCTGAGCAGGTCACCAGTCTGTCCACAGACCACCAGTAATCTGTCAGCAGAGGAAGATCAGAGGGGAAGAGGAGAGAGTGTTACTGTCCACTCCAGTCCTTCTGGGCTGGACAGGGGGAAGGTAGTTGTGTGGGCTGAGAGAGAGGAGTCATTATAAACTAGTCTCTGCCTCAGCGTGGGCAACATTCCAACCTACTTGGGCAAACCCAATGATCTCCAGGGCCCTCACTTCGAGAAGTTATGTGAGAAGTGGGTGAAAGGAAAAGGGGCCTAGCTCAAAACCTGGCATACAGAGTATTTAATCAACAGCCATAGTGCTGATTATTGTTTTTTAATTTTTAAATTTTATTTATTATTTTTATTTTATGTGTATGTGTGTATTTCCTGCATGTAGGTAAGTGCACCCGTCGTTGGATCCCCTGGAAGTGGAGTTACGGACAATTGTTAGCTGCCATGTGGGTGCCAGGATTCAAACCCGGATCTTCTGCAAGAACAACACGAAGTCAAGAAGAAGCTGTCGGATTCCCTGGGACTGGAGTTACAGACAGTTGTTAGCTGCCATGTGAGTGCTGGGATTTGAACTGGGGTCTTCTGCAAGAACAACCAGTGTTCTTATCCACTGAACCATCTCTCCAGCCCCGTGCTTATTATTTTTAAACGTATTTGCTAAAGTATTTTTTTTTCCTTACTGGCTCACCAGAAAGTGACTTTATTTTTCTACAGAGTTATAAATATTTCAAAGTACTTAATCATATAGTTAAAAGTGTGGCTTTGAGTTGGATTTTGTAAATGTTACAAAACACAGTCTATCCAGAGAGTTCTTATTTACAAGGACATGAGTGACAAAGCCCAGTTCTTAGGCATACCTATTTGGGGACCCAGCCCCACTGAGAGAAAGCTGCTAAAATAAATGTGGGCTGGTGGTAAATTTGGGGTGGCGTCTGCACGTGCTCATGTGTTGCACATGCTGCTGATAGGCACAGGGTTCAGGCTCTCAGCAGAGGACAGCTGACTGGTGAGAACAGGGAATGTTACTTTTCCTATCGGGATGGCCAGATGGCAGGGGAGGCTGTTCAGGAGGCAAACCTGTATACTTAGGAAAATCTCCCTCCTTGCATGCAGTATTGGAAAAGTGCCATGTTTCCTGCAGAATCCTCTGTTTTGGAATACATTCCATAGCATTTTGCTTTTCTTAAAAGAATCACACAGAGCAGGTGAAAACTCAGTAGCCTCCTGGTTCCTATAAAAAGGCCAGAGTGAGCTTTGGCCCTGCTCCTTTCTGCTCAATTGTGACTCTGGCTGGCCGGTGGATGTCAGGCTCCACCTGTGGATTTGCTGACCTGCTGGTATTCCTGGAAGGCTTACGCCTGAGCCATATAGGCTTCTCTATCTGTTCTTGGCCAGGCAAAGGGAAAGGTGCTTGGAAAGCCTTTGGCTGAACACTCTGGAATGTTAGGCCTGCAGTGCATAAAGTCCCATCTCTCTAGGCAGGAGGTAGTGATGAAACTGGTTTGATTAAGCCATGCTCTTTAAATCAAAAGAGAAGGCACACATTTTTAAAATGGGTGGTGTGCATTATCTTTCCTAGTTAAACCAGTTTAAAAGAAACAGATGTAACTCTTGTAAGTAGTGACGCTCTCTTGGTCCTGGGCAATGGCAGCGCTATGACCCCTGATGAGGGCAGCACTGACTTCTGCAGGATCTGCTGGGATGGGTCTCGACAGCTCTGCTGAAGGCTGTGTTCACAGATGTAGGGTTTCATTATACAGGAACTGGAGTCAGCTTACCAGAAGCTGGAATGTGCTATGTTCTACTAGAGAAGCAGATTCCCAGGTGGCCTCTCTTAGTCCAAAAATAAGTCTGATGCCAAAGGCCTGGAGATTTCATACCTTGGATCACCAAAGATGCCTTCTGTGTGAGTATGCCTGCCTCATTCTGAGCTAGGCAGCTGAACTCTCCTTGAGCTTCGCCACTGAGATTTGCAACGTGAAGGATCTGTCCAGCTCCCAAGATGTGGTATGTCAGTCCTGTTGCAGCAGCAACTGGTTGGCTGTCATGGAACCAGGTGATATTGGGGGTGGGGTGACCTTTGATGGGACAGGCTAGAAGAAGAGAAAAGTCAATCATTGGCACAACCAAAAAAACCCACATTCCTGGTGAGCCTCTGAGCATCTCCTCATGGCAGAACCTTACCAAGGGCATTTGTTTATTTATTTATTTATTTATTTATTTATTTATTTATTTATTTATTTATTATTTTTAGACGAATCATTTCATTACAGCTTTAACATATTCAGTAATACATTCCAGGGCAAGGATACATCTCTTTCAAAGGTAGCTGTAAATTTTTAGGTTCATGGTTGAATTAATACGGTCATACAATTGCCATTCCTGAATAAACTCCCTGGGCTTCTGGGAGAGTTACTGCTGTTCTTCAGCTGGTTAAATAAAAAGACTTGAAGAACATGATTACTGTTATGCTTCTACACTAAATTCTAAGAAAACAATTCAAATGGTATCAAACAATTAAGTCTAATTCCTGCTTCCATTTTATTTTATATCATTTTATAAGCAAAGAAACCTTCCAACAGACACAAGAGCACAATTTTACACATTAGTTTTGCTTGCCAGAAGTTGTGAACCTTGGTCTTTTGACCACTCTTATCAAGTGTGAATTAGATATGGACAATTATACTCTCACCTACATAGTCACTGAACATGTTTGATACATTACAATTCTAAGACATTACACAGAACATGTATCATGGAATTGGCAAACTAGATTACCAGTGTGAGGAAAATCTGTTTCCTCTCAATTTGGAGTGCTTGTTGGGTTTGCTGTTGTAGCTCTGGTGACTTCGCTTCTGCAGGAAATTTATTTTGATGTTAAAAGTATATGCTCCAAATCACTAAAAACAGACTATTAGGGATATGGAAAGGGAGAGGAGGTGCAGGATGGTAGGAGTATGATCCAAGAGCATTATATGCTTGTGTGAAAATGTCACAAAGAAGGCCAGACTGCATACGATTAATATAACTGTGAAATCAGGATATAAGAGAAAGCAGTGAGAGCCTTTGAGATACAGTGAAAATGTCTGTGCCACATACATTTACGTGTCAAATCCTAATGGTCAGGGTGATGGTTCCGTACGGTGGGGCCTTTGGGAGGCGGTTAGGTCAGGAGGGCTCTGATTGTGTGGGTGGGTTGTGAAAGGGTAGCTTAGGCCTTTTTGGTCTCTCTGACCTTCCGTCCTCCATCATGTGCTGGACAACACCTTTAGAGGACACAGCATTCAAAGCATTATTTAGGAATCAGAATGGCCAGAAATTTATATTGTATTTCCCATTCTCCAGAACTGTGAGCTGGTTTCTATTCATTTACATTACCCCACCTCAGACAATCTGTTGTAGCAGCACAAAACAGACCAAAACAGAGGTGAAGGACTTGCACACTGAAAACTACAAAGCACTGCTGAAATGAGAGGAATCATACAGCAGTGGGAGGACAGCCCACGTTCCTAGATTAGAAGGCACTAGCATTAAGATGCCAGTCCTAAACAAAGGTCACTAAGACTTCAAAGCAATTGCAATCCAAAATTCCTTTGATTTTTTAAAATATAAGGGTATAGTCCCAGGTACTGAGAGTTAGGTTTTCAATATCATCCGTGAGAACACATCTCATAACAGAAGGCTATCCCAACCAGAGCATACCAGTACAGAAAATTTGATAAGAGTAGCAGTCAAATAAGTTGAAGCAGCTGAAAGTTCTTGAGTGGAATTCTGGAGATGAAGATTTGGAAATCGGCACGAGTTGTTCTGAAGTCTTGGTCTAATTGAAAATGTCTGACTGAGCACAGAGTTAAAGTGTTCACGGCTGAGCAAAGAGCTTCAAGGGAACTGTGAGCTCAATACTTTCATCAAATAAAGCCAAAATACTGGCTAGATGGAACATTCCCCACAGAGATCTCAGAGAAGACTTCAAGTAGAGACTACCCCAGACCTGCTCCAACTAAACTAAAAATCACCCAAGATAACCGAATAACTGAAATTGTAACTGACACCCAAATATATTAATATATATTTTTTTTCTTAAGAGGACATTTGGAGATAGTCTTGTCTAGTTCATACTGGTTGAAGCCACTGACCCCTTCACTTTGGCCTGTACAAGTACCCAATGGGCACTTTTGGAAGCCAAAAGCTCCACCTGCAGATAACGCCTCTGCCACCATGTTCTGTGGCATTTTGTTCAGTGCCCCGATGGCTTCATCATTTCTTTCCTCCAATCATCTTTCTCCATACCTCTGAACACAGTTTGTCTCCCATAAATACCCTTAAGCCCTTTCTTCAAGGGGGTGGATTTGAGTGGGCATTCCCCTTTCTCAGGTTTGGGTATCTTGTGAATACTTTCTCTTTTGAAAAACTCATTGCTTCAGAAAACTCATTGCTTCAGTGGGTAATGAAAAATAATGGGTTGGTTTGGCTTCTCTCTGGAGGAAGATAACAAAATCCAGACACTTGATGTAAAACTGATACTGTGCTGGGTGTGGTGGTGACGCCTTTAGTCCCAGCACTTGGGAGGCAGAGGCAGGAGGATCTTTGTGAGTTTGAGGCAGCCTGGTCTACATAGTGAGTCCAGGCCAGCTGGGGTGCCCTGTCTCAAAAAGACAAAAAATAAAACAAAACAAAAAACAAAAACAAAAAAACTGATACTTTCAGAGTTATGTGCTCCAATTACTTCTTGACCAGCCAAGAAGCAAGAAAATGTGATTCTGGGGGTTGGAGAGATGGCTCAGTGGTTAAGAGCACTGGCAGTTCTTGCAGAGGACCCAGCTTTGAATCGTAGCACCCACATGGCAGTTAACAACCATCTATAACTTCAGTTCCAGAAGGTCCAACACCCTCTTCTGTCCTCCATGGGCACTGCACGACACAGGTGCACTTACACATGTGCAGGCATAACACTTATACACATAAAATAAAATAAATTAATATAAAAAATTTTAAAAAGGAAATATGATTCTCTGTTGGGAGGGAAATTAACCAATGGAAATAGACTCAGGAAAGATAGGCATGATGAAATTAGTAAATAAGAATTATGATCTTTTAAGTGTATAAAGGACATCAGACATATATTGAGGAAGACAATGGAAATTCCAGAAAGAAATAGATATGGATTTATAGTGATAAAATATTTTATGAGCTGTGATATTCACTGACTAGGATTAATAGAAAATGAAACATAAATGGTGTGTGAAAATGAATACCCAGAACATGAAATCTAACCAAAGTAAATGAACAAAATTTCCAGGCCATCTACCTACGCAATTGATTAGTCTTCAATGCCTTTAACTTCCTTTGTACTCAGAAGCAGTATTAGGACACATGTAATGCAAGGCCCCGTGCTTGTATGTATGTATTTATGTACATGCCTGTGTGTGTACTGTGGTCTCTGAGGATCACGGGCAGGAATAGTCAAAGTAAGGATCTAACATGAATTCCCTCTGTGTATGTTCCCAGTGAATAATTATCCATGTTTCATTGCTAACGAGAAAACCTGGCTTGTAATGGGGTTCCCTTCTGTCACGGACATTTCTCATTTGTTAAAGCAAAAGGCCCATCAATCATTTTGTGTAAGCCAAGCGATCTCTCTGTGTGCCATTTTACAAGGACATCCAAAACTGTGTGCTAATGTATTCCGCACCTCCAGAGAGGCTGAAGAGCAATTCCTCCCCCAAACTCTGATTATTGCCTTGGTGAGGAAGTTTGCAGTGTTTAACACAGGGCGTGTAAATGGGGGTATCTCTTTCTCCTGTATTCGTCCCAGCCCAACAGATGCCAACCTTTTCTAGGCTCCAAATCCCAGGGCCTTCCTCAGGAAATGGACAGTTAGAAGGACTGATGTGCTCACTCCTCAGAACTCAGCTATTAAGGAGCTTGAGCTGTTAGGTGACTGAGGAGGAAGCGTAGCTAATGAGAGTCCTAGCAGCAGAAAGCCTCCCTCTATCAGGCCTTCCTAACCAAAGAAGGCAAAGAGTGCCTTTAGGCTTCCATACTGAGGCCCACTGTAGTTTTCAGTTGAGCGAAGCCAGGTGTGAGTCACATGAGTGAGGTTTTGCTCTTCCTAGGTTTTAAAAAACATTTTAATTTTAATTTTATGGTGTATGTGTATTGCCTGCATGTCTGTAAGTGCACCCGTGTCATGCACTGCCCTCAGAGGTTGGAAGAGAGTGTCGGATCCTGATACTGGAGTTACCAACAATTGTTAGCCACCATGTGGTGCTGAGAGTTGAACCCGGCTCCTCTACAAGAGCGGCCAGTGCTCCTAACCACTGAGCCATGTCTCCTGCCCATGCTCTCCCTAGTTCATCGTTATCATCATCATCACCACCACAACCACCACCATCAATCTCTCTGCCTCCCCCTCTTCCTCCTTCAACACATTGGCTGTGAGAAATGTTTAGAGTGAGAAAAATTATCAAGTAAGAAAGCTTATATGAGAAATTTATCCTTATTGTTCTTATCTTAAATGTAGGCAAAAGCATGTTTCCTAGTGGCTGTAAAATCCTACACACCGAGGACACGCAAGGAAGAGGCCATAGCATTTGCCTTTAGGGAGCATGTGTCAAAGATCAAGAAATCCTATATCATATTATTTGCTCCAAACATGGCAGTCAGTGGACTCCAGCGAGCCCAGAACTTCTACAGTTAACATCTCTGCTTCCATCAAGTTTTCCCCACTGACTTTCTTCACATTGCGTCCTGATTTTACACTAATTTCTGTAACTATAATAGCCTGGCTCGAGGAAACAACGCAGGTTTGACAGGCAAGGGAAACACGGGCAGCCTGGTAGCCCTGACCTCCAGCTTTCTTGAACCCCCCGCAGAAGATGCCAGGGCAACAGATTCAATTGTCTTAGAGGCACCTGTCCCCAAAGAGGCTCTAAACTCACAGAGATCATTACTCAGTGGGTTTTTGTTGTTGTTGTCCTAAAGGGCTCAGAAATCACCATGATCTTCAGCAAGCAGCTGGGCTTCTAGGCTTCTTTGTAGGTCAAGTCAAGCCAATGCAGATTCATCAGGTGTCTGTCATCCGGAGTTCATT